AATGGAGTGAAGGTTACTCTTGTACTCTTCCTTATTTCCTGTTTCACCATACTTCTGTTTCTGTCTTCTGGCTAGTTAGCACATTCTCTGCACTACCACTTGTAAACCTCTTTCCTGACTCGTACCATGACATAAGTTTATCTTCAATTTGATTTAGAGCCTTCCATGGCAGTGGTACATAATTCCTTTGCAATCAGTTTGTCTCTTGCATCTGGAGTAGCTTAAACATTGTCTTCCAAGAGAGAGGCATTTTTTTCTGGTTGGAACACCCATTTGCTTCATATAGAACCTGAAAAATAACTGTCACAGCTCCACACATCCTCATATACAATTCTCATTTCAGTAATTGCTTCTTCCTCACAGTCTCTTGAGTCACTACGAGAGGACTGTTTGCTTGGAAAAGCAAAATAAAGGTGCCCAAGGTGATGATAAGCTGTCCAGGGGCCACAGAGGAGGAGGTGGCACCAGCTTAGGGTGGCTGGCTCAGCAGGTGCCCTTTCACCCCCAGGGTTGGCTCAGAGCTGATGGCACCGTTTGTGCTGTTGGCTGATGCCCATCTGCCCTTTGCCCTGACCAGAAGACTTGGGGTCAAATAACTCCTTAAGAGTAAGCAAGGTTCAGCGTGTGCCCAAATTCCTGTTTGTGTAAATGTTCTCTCTTGTCCAAGTTCTTCTATGTTTTCCAATGGGAGAAGATAGTTTAACATCCCTTACAAGAGGCTACTGTGTGTCAGAATATAGCACAGTGTATAGACATGAGCTGTGCAGTGTATAGACATGAGCTTTAATCAGAATTACAGACTGGTTTGGGTTGGAAGGGACCTTAAAGCTCATCCAGTTCATACCCTCTGCCACGGGCAGGGACACCTTCCACTAGAGCAGGTTGCTCCAAGCCTCTGTGTCCAACCTGTCCTTGAACACTGCCAGGGATGGGGCAGCCACAGCTTCTCTTAGCAACCTTTACCAGTGCCTCACCACCCTCACAGGAAGAACTTCCTAAGATCTAATCTGAATCTCCCTTCTTTCAGTTCAAATTAAACTCTAATTAAGCATCTGCAGATGAGATCACTGCTCTGGGTTGCAGTGCTTCACATGTTTGCAACATAGCATAAATGTGAAAAAGGGATAGAGAAAAGCAGGATTCTCTTGTAATAAAGGGCAGCACCAAAACACCTAATGATGTGGTCAGAGCCTCCTGCAAGTCTGTGCCAGAGCTGCCAGTGAAACTCATTCTGGTAAATGCACTTGCCAATCTGCCTTTTTCAGTGCTCTTGGTTTTGGAATAGAAGCATTGTTAGGTTTAACAACTGAATGGGGAGCTTGCTCCCTGATTATTGTGCTGCTTCTGAAAAACAGTAGGAAATCAAATATTATTCAGCTGCCTCGGAGGAAGAAATCTCATGGGAAATGCTAAAAAAGGTTAGAAAACTCTGAAACAAAGGGGTCAAAAGGGAGCTCTGGATCAAGCCTGTGTTTCATTTTCTGCTTCTTGCCTTCTCTGATACTAGTCCCTACTCTGCTGAATAGTTTCACTGTGGACAAGAGGATTGCTTGCAGAATCAGCTGCTACCAGTATGTGCTTATAGGTGTCTGAAGATGACCTTTATCCAAAACTCTTCTGTGCAGAAGCGCTTTGCAGTCCTCTGTTGGAAGTTCACAATGCTGATGTTGTTTCAGTATGTCATTTGTTGGCATCAGTAGGGTGTCCCTTTGCCAACATCTTTTGTGCGTGTTTGGCTTCACTTACATAGCCACTAAAAGTGAATCCAGGCACAAACCTCTTTCTGTAAAGCAGGAGCTCAGACTTCCACCATTGTCTTTTCTTGGAGTTTGACAGATTGAAGTTACCAGGTGCTTGTCAAAAGAGGGATCTGGCAGGTCAAGGTTAAAATGCTTTGCAATCAGACCACTTAATGCTCTTTTTTACCTTCACAGGAGGCCTCCTCATCTGTTTACCACGAGAACAGGCAGCACGTTTCTGTGCAGAGATCAAGTCCCCAAAGTACGGCGAAGGCCACCAAGCATGGATCATTGGCATCGTAGAGAAGGGCAACCGCACGGCGCGGATCATTGACAAGCCTCGGATCATCGAAGTTGCGCCTCAGGTGGCCACTCAGAACGTGAACCCCACGCCCGGTGCCACCTCTTAATGTAGATGAAATGGCTGTTTTGTTTTTAAATAGATCTATTCCTTTATCATCCTACGATTTAAAGAACTGTAAAGAGAAAACTTGTTGTGTCTGCGCATCTGGTGGCCTTCGGTCAGTTTATGAGTGGATACAATTAATGAAATAAAATCCATTGCCTTTTTTTCCTGTTACATTAACTGAAGATGCACCTAATCTTGAGGCAGCTTCTGAGTTGAGAATTATATTGTTATCCAATACTGTTGATTCATTTTGAATCTTTAGACACTTATCTCTTGCCGCATAGGCTCTTTTTAAAGGTGCTTTCACGTAGCACAGACATTACCAGTAGTAGTGTCAAATAGCAGTTTGTGTCCTTTCATTATATGTATATTTATCATAAGTCTAATTTTGATGCCTTGAGTGATATTCCGGAAAGGCAATAAATTGAGAAGTGACACCATGGGTATACCCAGTAGAAAGAAGGTTGCATGATTACATTCAATCTTTGATTTTTATTTCTATTTCTTTTGGGTTTTGTTGGTGGTGTTCCTTTAAGGTTTAGTCTTGCCAAGAACATCCACAACCCTGGACATTGCTTGGTAGTGCACTCTCTTTAAACCAGCAAGTGCTGACTTTGCATGGATAGCACTTCAGAGTAGAAGGAGTCAATTTCTAACTTTATTATTTGTAGACCTGACAATATTTACTGTATTATCAATGATTTTTTTCTTTCTTGAGAGTATGGAAAAAATAATTCTTTCTTTCTTTTGCAATGTGATTGGATGTGCTATAGTGCAACAAAGGTTTTTGCAGACCAAAAGGAGGTTCCTGTATAATATTCATTTACAAGTCGCTATATAAATAACTACACAAATAATTTTTAAATATAATCAAACTAAAATAAACCTCTGTTCTGTGGATGGTAGTGTTTAATACATTTTATATTTTGTATAGTGATTACCAGCCTTCTTTTTTTTTTTTTGTTCTTCCTTTAAAATCAGCAGCTGTTTAGTATAATTCCTTAGTATTATTTTGTTCTTTGCTCAGATACATTTTTCTGCACGCTTTTTGTGATCTGTGTTTAAAATCTACATTGCCAACATTGCAGCTTGGACTTCAGCTTGTTATTCAAAATAAATATTTAATTTTTTTTATTGCTCTTGTAGAAGTGCATCAACTTTTTTGCTTCCTACCTGAATGACAGACTGGAAAGAGGAGAGCTCCTCAGGGGGTTTATTTGATTGCAAGTGTAATTATATTGATAGTTGTTCTTTCTCCTTTGATCACGTCTGCAAGCTGTGATGGCCAGTGGTAATCTGGAGTATCTCCCTCCTGCATACCAGAGCTGGGGACAAGCAAGTTATTTCCAAGTATACTATCTATTTGGTTAGCACATAGCATGCAGTGGTTCTGAATTGTTTCTTCTGCCAGACAAGGGGTTGAGAGTAGCCCTGGGAGTGGAAATGATGCTGAAACCCAGCTTTCCCCAACAGCAGGAGGATCTTAGATAATGGTTACTGGTACCAGCAAGAGTTATAAGGGCTTCTGTCTGTGAAAAGTGAGTCACTAGAGATGAGCCAGTCCAGACATTGAGCAAGGTTCCCAGCTCCAGTCTTGCTCCTGTGACAACTGGCAAACATGGCTCATCTCTCTTCCACTAGTTGTGTTCTCAGCAGGTATCCCTTGCAAAACTAGATTTCATTTTATTCTTCCCCTACTTTGTGAGTAGCCTAAACCACACAGAGCCTCGTGCTCCTGAAGAAGACAACTGAGAGTTACGTATTCCCAAAACCTCAAAGCAGTAACTGAGTTTTTGGCTTTGCTTTGGAGAAAGTTTTTTCACAGTAGTTCTGAAAATAAAGCCTCACAAACCAGTTGTCTGTGCAAAAGATACTGATTTTAATACCTTTTTTCTCCCATTTTTTGAAGTGTGTTCTGTATCATGATACGAAATAGTGGAGCTGGCTTCTGTTTGTTTTCTTTGTGGTCAAGATTGCTAGTACACAGGTAATTTTATTAGATTAAAAAAGCAGAACAGTTGGGTACTTACGTGTGAAAGTGCTTGTTACAAACCTGTTGTATTTTAAACTGGTGCTAGCTGCAAGTTCACCCTCAGCAGAAAATCATACTAGTTGGTGGATATTGGTGTTTTTTCTCATGTATCTTGCTTAGTTTATCACCCAGGTGTGAAACCAACACTGCTCCTTCCCCAGATGGGCCTTGATTAGTGGAAGGTTCATCGCTGGGAGGAAGGAAGGCTGCTTTTTCAACAAGGTGAAATGAAATTCACAGCCTTGGCACCAACCTTTCTAGCAGGAGCTGTTTGGACTTCCAGAGGAACACTTCCATTTGCAGTGGCTGGAGTCAGCCATGAGCAAAACCCCTCTCAGGTGAGCGGATGGCGGAAGCCTCTCCTGATGTTTCCTGATGACTGGAATTTACATCCCAAAGTGCTTCCTGGCTTGGCAGGCTGGTGATAATTGAGTTGGGAAGCCCTGTTAGCATCACATCAGCTGTTCAGGAGTGTGGTCATTTGTATAAGCGATTTATGATTTTGCTAAGTAAGAGATGTAGATAAAGCATAAACTGTAGGAAGGCACAACTTGGGCTAGCAGGTATGAACATTTGTATGCATGTGGGAAACTTTCTGGAAAATGATGTAATATGCTCAGTGACCATATAAGGATGACCTGTATAGCAATTCAGGGGGACACGTTAGGAGGAGCTATCCCCCATGTCTCCCGGCGCTGCAATAAAGAATACCTGCTTGTCAACTTGAAACTCTGTTGGCGAGTTTGTCCCTGGAGTTTTCGCCGAATCAAAGTGCGGATCTTAAAGATCTCCTTTTAAACAGTTATTTAAGATTCTGGCATCAAAAAGCCATAAGAAAGCAGCAGTGAAGAGTTGTTTGACCTCTCTTCAGTCATTGACATAAATGTCATGTACTGTTGTTTGCTCACACAGGTACCTCTGCATGCATCAGCTTCTATCCCTCAGTATGAGGAGACTGCTTGCAAAACTGCATCGAAGTTGTGAGGAGAGTGGAGATTAAAGACTTGTAACAATTGGAATATCCACCAGCCTAATCAACAAGTTTAATAAGTAGTAGATGTTCTTGAAAAGCCGGTATCTGTTCTAATCTGATCTAGTTGAAGATGTCCCTGCCCACTGAACGGGGGGGGGGGGGGGGGTTGGACTTGAAGGTCTCTTCCAACCCAAACAATTCTATGATTCAAATATGGTGGTTTCCTCAGCCTTTTGCTTCTCCCCTTGCATCAGGAAGGAATAACACTTTATCTGTGGCAGTATATAAAGTCCAAGGAGTTTTAGCCTTTCCTTTTTAGATGTTATTTTGAGCTCATGTTTGGCTACAAATTCAGGACTGACCTTTTTCTTCTTAATGATACAAAAACTACTGTGAATGCTGCAATGAGAGGGCAACAAACCTGAGTGGGTGAGGGGGGGACAGATGGGCACCATGGCCAACCTGTGCTGTACTGATTTGTTACTGAATGTCTGGTAAACAGGCAGGAAGAGACCTTGGCGTGCATCTGCACGCTGACCACAGGATGTGATTGGGAACCTCTGTGGCTGGTGCTTGAAGAGGAAAAAGGTAACAAAACACCTTCTTACTTGGCTTTTGGACAGGAATTTTTCCAAGGCTGGTGGTCAGGAGGGGGAATACCTAAAGGGGGCCTATGAGAAACCTGGAGAGGGACTTTTTGCAAGGGCAGGTAGTGACAGGACAAGGGGGAATGGCTTTAAACTGAAAGAGAGGAGACTTAAATTAGATATTAAGAAGCAGCTCTTCCCTGTGAGGTTGGTGAGGGGCTGGCACAGGGTGCCCAGAGAAGCTGTGGCTGCCCCATCCCTGGCAGTGTTCAAGGCCAGGTTGGACACCGGGGCTGGGAGCAACCTGCTCTAGTGGAAGGTGTCCCTGCCCATGGCAGGGGGCTGCAACTGGATGAGCTTTAAGGTCCCTTCCAGTCCAAACCAGTCTGTGATTCTATGAGAAGGGAATCCCTTCTGGGAGCCTCAGGACCTCAACAAAGCAACATCTCTGTGAAGGAGACTTCCACACATTAGGTCTCTAAGCTGGCATTGCAAGACCAAACCACTAAGGAAAAACTTCGGTATTTTTAAGCTTTTGATGCTCAGAGCTGGCTATGATGGCTCCAGCCATCTCTGGCACTTGTGAAGCTGTCTGTCCATAGGAGTATGTTGGACCCACAGATCAGAGGTGAGGGACCACTGTAGCCCTAAGACCCCATTTCCCATGCTGGGGAGAGGGAAGCCAGGTTGCAGCATCTCAGGAGCTGCACAGGGGTTGCCCAAACCCTGAGATTTGGGAGAGGCCAGGAGCTAGAGGTAGGACTTCGCTTTCGTGAAAGGCAGTGCTGCTCGACTTGTCTCTTAACACATCACGTATCCTCTGCTTGCAATGTCTCAACTGGCTTTAATCAGGCTTGCTCTGCTTCCAGCATTTAGACTTCAGCACAGGCTTTGCTGCTCCAGACATATTTAAGCTAATGCTGATATTACAACCAGTGCTGTTTTGTGCCTTTGCTTGCAATGTTGACATATTTTCTGTTGTGTCTTTCTAAGGCACGAGAAAGCTGCTGCCCCACATCTCCAACCATCAGAGAAGGCAAAATCGTAACAACAGAAGAATGGTCTTGAGACTCCCAAGGTAAAAATAGATTTGTCTTCAGGTGCATGTTCCCTATGTAGTAGGTCACCTGGGGGATGCTCCTACCACCGTAACTGAACTCACAGAACAATTTGACTTAGAACTGATGTCTTGCAGTCTCCTGGTCCAAAGCAGGGACAATCCTGAAGTGAAATTAGGTTGCTCAGGCCTGTGTGCTGTCAGGCTTTGAATACCTCCAAAGACACGGATTTCAGTCTCTCTGAACCCCTTGTTTCAATGCTGGCCTTCCCATCCCTGCAGGATTTATATCTAACAGGGTATTTTCTTACTGCAGTTTGTGCCCATTGTCTCTCAATTTTGCTGTAAGCTTTCAAGAAGACTGTGGCTATCTTCTGTTTCTCCCCATCAGGTACTAGCAGGTAGCTGTAGGATCTCCCTGGAGCCTCCTCTTCAAGCTGAACTATTTTCTCAGCCTTTCCTTGAGTACCATGTGCTTCAGCCCCCTCATTTTAGTGGCTCTCCACTGAACTCACTCTAGGATGTCAGCGTCTGTGCTGGGGAGCCCCAGACTAGACCAGATGTAATTGCACAAACTGCCTTATAGGAGGGAAGAACCACTTCCCTTGACACTGTGGCCACACTCTTGTCCATGCAGCCCAACACACAGCCAGCCCTTTTCATCACAAGCACACACCACTTGCTCATTTTCAACTTGTCCATCGAGTACTTTCTTGCAAAACAGCTTTGGAGGCAGGCAAGACCCAGCTTGTCCTGCAGCATAGAGCTGTTCCACGCCAGGTAAAGCACTCTGCTGAACTTTCAGGGGGTTCTGCTGAGGTCCCTCCAGCCATCAGGATGGCTCCCCCAGCTTCCTGAGGATTCATTCTTGTCCAGGTCAGTAACAGAGATGTAAACCAGCATCAGTTCTGCTACTGAATGCTGAGAGATGCAACTAGTAACCAAGTGCACTTCATACTGCTCATCACAGCCCTTTCTGTCCCAAGAAGTCTTCCCAAGGTCAAGATGCAGGCTGCTTGTTGCTCTACTCTAATCCACAGTCATTCCATCACAGAAGGTGAGGAGACTGGCCAGGCCCAATTTGCTTTGGTAAATCTGTGCTGGCTGTTCCAAATCATGTTGTCCTTGGTAAACGTAGACACAGTAAATCCAGGAGGGTTTACTGGACTGTCTTCTAGGAGACAGGTTGAGAAAGATCCTTCTTTTAACCCCCTTGTGAAAACAGGTATGACATTTGCCTCTTCCCAGTCATTAGACACCTTTCCTGGTACCAGGGAAGACAGAGCAGCTTTGCAGTCACGTTGCCTCCTACAGATAAAGTCCACATGGTCCCATGGGCTTGAGAATGCCCAGCCTGCTTCAGTGGTCTCTAGCTTAGTCTGCTGTAGTGTGGGTGATGCTCTGTGGCCCCAAATCCTACTGCTCAGCACAGGGAAGCCAAATAACAGACCAGGCCAGCACAGCCCAAGGCAGAGAAGCCATGGAGACCATTGACCTTTTCCATGTCCTTTGTCCCGACATCCCCCTATTTTGTTCTTCATTGTGTCTGCACTTTCCTTTGCCTCTTCTTAGCTACTAATGTATCTGTAGAAGTCCTTCTTGAATCTTCTGGTGATGAGAAGTGAACCTGTGCATTGGTGGTGGATTTTGTTGTTATTGTCTCATCTACATCTGTTTTTACTGGCATCTGAGTTGAAAAAGCTAATTTTGCTGGGTTGGAGCAGCTGCCACTTCCCACCACAGTAAATTAAGCTTTCCAAAGGCCTCATCTTTGGAATTACAGTTCTGATCATAATGTGGGTTTTAACAGTCAATTGAGATGCTTATTAAATTATAACACTGTGCATTAGGACCATTCCTGTACTGCTGGAGAAATCTCAATCATTTAGGTTTTATTAGTTTTGTGATTTAATGAACAGAAAACATTAAAAGCCAAATGCAAAACAGCTGTACAAAAACGTTCCATAAAATTCAGGAAACCAACAGACATAGCTGTAAAAGTACTTTGCAGAGGCACAGCCCCTCTTCAATGCCATTAATTTTAATAAAAGGATGAATGCCACCATCAGTTTTCATAATGAAGAAAATCTCTCCCTTGTTTCTTTTCCTAGGTTCATGAGATTCAGTCTGTACTTGAGTGAAGCTTACCAATGGACTGGAAAAATTGCTCTGGACTGGTTTGGGTCCACATGCTTCTCTGTTTAGAGTACATGGCTACACCACGACCAGCCGTCGTGCTGCTGATGCTACTGTGTGGTTCTTAGCGCTGCAGCCTTGAGTGATGCCAGCAAGACCTGACATCAGTCTTTTATTGTATTGAAGTCTGATCATGGTCTTTACGCCAAGGTGGAGGAGGTATCCTGTATTATTTAGCAGTTTGATGTGACACGGTGGTCCAGTGACACTGCACAAGCCAGTATTACCAGGTCTTACCAGCAGTATTATCAAGATTACCAGAGCAGCAGTAAGTAAAAAGGAATAATTGTATTCAGTGCACAGAGAGATTAGCTTTTTGAGGCTGCTCTTGTTGGAAAATGTATATATATGTCTATGTAAATATGTATTATGTATGTATAAAAAGCATCTTAGTTCTCAAACTCCTAAATCAAGACAGCAGTCACTAAGCACTTCTTATTTATTTTTCCCAGGTATCAAAGACACCTTTGCATAAGATGCTGTCAAACATGTACCAGTGGAAGAAATATCTACATTGCAAACAGGTCGGTGTCAGAACTGGTGTGTGTAACATTGTTCTGCTTTATCTTTTGAATGGAAATCTCACCTGGCTTTTGAAACAGATGAAGATTTATTGAGGTTTCTCTTTTAGTTTGGATTGTGAAGCCAATTGCAGCATATATCTGAATTACAAAGAGACCTTTCAGTGCAGTTCTAATTAGGACTTTGGTAATAAAACTGTTGTTCTGGTTGCTCCCCCCCTCACTTGCATTTGACTTGACTTTTAATAACTTTGTTTACCTGTAACTAAGAGTTTTCCTATAGCTCTGGAGTCAAAGGTCTGATTTCGTTGGCAATAAAGGGCTGGTCCTGCCACTGCTGCTACTTCTGAGTACACAGAATGGTTTTGAGAGGTTTTTGTCTGGGTTCCTTACCTTGTTTGTCCCACTCTTGTGAACAGACCACGTTTTGTTGTAGCCCCCAAGGATGAGACTCCACTGAGCATGCATGGAACTGCTGCCTATGGGAGCCATAAATATCGATGTACCCCAGGTCCAGGCAGCTGCCACAAATAGAGTAGGTAAACGTGCTCTGGTACATCTTTACTTAAATCATTGGGAGCTTTGCCACTGAGTTTTAAAGGAAATCAACTTTTAAGATACAGGTTAAGTTCAGAAGCACTTCCTATCCATGCCTTGGCTTCTGTTTATCTGTAGCACCAACACAAAGCTTAGTATATTGACAGCTGACATCAACATGTCGCCTTGGGTTCCAGAAAAACCTGCTGCAAAATGCAGTTAAGCTTCCTGAAGTATCTGTGATGTAAAGATCTGGTGCACACCCTGTAATCATCAGACTGCCTGGAGCAACAGGGGATTTGCTCTTTGTGGTGCATCTTTGGGAGCAGGGCCTGGCTGGATCACTCAGGAGCAAGCAGTTTATGAATAAACCATGAGGATCTATGTGCATATAGTGGGTTGGCAAAATAATGCAGATTCTCAGCATAACTCACCTCCAGTCCTGATGCTGCTCTCCAGCTTATTATAGGGTATTTGTTACTGGGTTTGCTGCCCTCAGTTTACCACTACTCTCTCATCCAGATCCCCAACTTCTCCATCTCCTGGGAGAGCGCCTGCAAGGCTGGACGTGGAGCAGGCAGCACAATGTCTTCCTCCCATCTTCACCCTCCTCAGAGCTGTTACCTCTGTCCCCACCTCCGTGCTCATCCTCAGAGATGAATCCCCTTGGCCAGGACAGCAGATTCCATCAGGGAATACCTGATCTTCAGCAACATCTGCTTTGCACAGGGCTGGAGGGGATGAATTGACCATCACACCAATGGCACAAGCCAGTCTGAGCCATGACACAGGGGGCCTGAAGTCCACTTTGCAGAAGGTGTGAGGCTCTGTGGTGCAGCGGCAACAGGGACACATGCGGAGATGATGCAAACCATTTTCGTAACTGTGCTGCAGGCCCTGGACTGTGTTCAGTTCCTTAATATCCTTCTCTTCACGTGTCAGTCAATGCACTCATGGAGTTAATTAAAGCAGATGAGAGTGTGCTAAAGACAGTGTATGCTGAATATGGCACTTGTAAGTGTATTCCAGCTTCAGAGGAATACCAAGCCGCTATAAAGTTTGTTCTTTCCAATGCCTGTTTGTAGCTCCACATTTTTTATGCTGCTTCCCATTCTCCTTACACCAGGTTTTCCACCCCTGAGTGTTTTTTTTTTCTTCCTCCCCAGTGCACTGTGACTCCTGAGTCCTTTTGCTCCTTCTCTTCTCACTGGAAAGCACCAGAGCTGTCCCAGAAGGCTGGACAGAAATGCCACCCAGCACAACACCCTGTATGTGGATTTAATTCCAGATCTCCATCAATGCAAAACACACTCTGCCACCCTATCAGGGTGACAGCGGGGCCATAAAGAACGCCCCAAAGTGATTAATGGAGAGATGAGGCAAGCTCTGACAGTCTCCTTAGAGACAGGAGATAAAGAGATACGGGATGTGAGCCTCAGCCGTGCTCTGTGCTCATGGGAGCGCCTTCCCGCAGGGCTGATGGAAGTCCCCCACGACAGGCACTGCTGTCAGAGAGGGGGAACCCGCGGGCAGGGGCTGGGCGGTGCTAGGCCATGCGCTGAGCCTTCCCCACGTAGCCCCAGCCTCCGCCAGCCCTCCCGCCCGCAACCCCGCCAGCCCCTCCTGGCTTCCCGTGGCGCTCTGAGCATGCGCAGCTCCCGGCGCATGTGCAGCAGGGGCTAAAGGCGCCGACGGGGCTCTGCTGCTGCCCGGCTGCGCTCCTGAGGTGAGGCTGGGCCCCGAGCGGGGGCAGCCCCGGCGCGATGGAACAGGTCCGGAGGCGGTCGGCGGCTCGGCTGGATGCCATCCTCCGGCACCTCAACCCGCGGGTGGGAGCAGCCCCTGCTCCTGTATCCTTTATGATGTGGGAGCGGGGCGGGGGCATGGTGGGCCTGTGGCGGTCAGGGCTGTACGTCCACAGCCCCAGTGACTCCCAGCACCTTGCCTGTGTGTGCGGGGAGGGGTTCTGTGGTGGTGTGTCCTTCAAGGACAGCCTGCCCGGGAAGGAGGCGCCACTTATCCCTACGGTTATAGGGTGGTGACTTGCGGGGGGGGGCATGTCCCACACAGCCTCTCAGCAAGCAGGGATGCACTAGGGCAGCGCTTCCCCATCACCCCTGACAGGTGCTTTGGGTTCAGCACCCATCCCACCCCAAAAGCCTCCTCTTTCTCTCTGACCTTCAGCCCTGCAACCGGCTGGGTGCTGGGAATTGCATCTGATGAACCCCCCGTGGCACATATCTGCCAGCACGGAGCAGGGGGGTTTCCTGCAGAGGATTCTTCTGGAGGTTTGGGGGTGATAGACTCTGCAAGGCTTAGCAGCTGAACAGCAAGCCTCAGCCTCTGTTGGCAGGTACGGGCTCGACTGGTAGCCCAGCAGCAGGAGAAACATCAGGGTTTGCTTTGTGAGTGGGAAATGGGGTGGAAGTGTTGGAGACTGGCAGCTTTATGATAGACCACAGAAAGGAAACCAGGGCAGAAACAAGTTTTCATGTTGATCTGTCCCATGTGTCCACAAGTTAAATGAGGGCTGTGTGCGGGTGGTGTTTTTAAAGTTATTGCCTTAAATGTTGCTTTTTTAAAACATAAAAAATGTTTAAATGCTGCTGATTCTCAGTGAGAACTGGGTGCTGACAAGTTTCATGTGAATTACACTAAATTGGCAAAAAGGATGGGATCAAACAGAATGTAGGAGTCTTCAGATCTATTGAAAACTAAGATGGATGGCAGTGACTCACGCTGCTGTAAGGCAAAGGTGCAAGTGGGAGCATAACATTGGAAATAAATGAAGGAATATGTTATGGTTTAACCCCAGCTGGGAACTAAGTACCAGACAGCCTTGCTGTAAAGAAGGAGAAGCACTGCCCAAGGTGTTTTGGCTTTAAATCCAGCTGCAGTGGTCCTGATGTAAAGAGATTTGGACAAAAACAGAACTAAACTGGGCTGGAGCAAGAAAGGCATGTGGATAAAGTAAATGGCAGAATCTAATAATATGTTTATTTGATATAACTTAAACAGGGGAAGTTTAGATTGGATATAAGGAGGAAGCTCTTTACTGTGAGGGTGGTGAGGCACTGGAATGGGTTGCCTAATGAAGCTGTGAATGCTCCATGCCTGGTGGTGTTCAAGGCCAGGTTGGACAGAGCCTTGGGTGACATGGTTTAGTGTGAGGTGTCCCTGCCCATGGCAAGGGGGTTGGAACTGGATGATCTTAAGGTCCTTTCCAACCTTAACTATTCTATGATTCTGTGATACATGTTACATCAGGGCACTGGTTTTGTCTTTACCAAAATGAGCTACCAGAGATGGCAGCTCCTTCCCAGTCTGTGTACCTCTTGTTTTCAGTTGTCCAAGCAACCCAAACTTATCCTTTGAGTGTTGTAAGTTGGCAAGAGCAAAAACAGTGAGAGGAAGAGGTGCTGCAAAGCCCAGGAGGAAGGTGTTCAATGGAGCCCAGCCCTTCGTGGGATTGTCTGTTATATCCCTCTTTGAGGACATGGAAGTTGAACCACAGCTGGGGTTCAGCCAGTGCCTGTGTCTCCATCCGCTGCCTGTGGACGTTCAGGAGTCTGAATCCCATGAGTCCCAGGCCAGGCCAGAAGTTCCATCTGCACTGAAATTGGACCTGAAATATGGTGTGTGGAGCAGCAGTGCCCTCAGTTGGGGAATCCCTTGCTTTGAGACTTGCTGTGGTGGTTTCCACCTTGTCTCCCCATGTCCTCTTCCTTCCCACTCTCTTCCATCTAGTTGTCAGCAGTTTTTCCTCCCTCTAGCTCATCATTTTTGCTACACGTGTTGTGTTTCTTCTCACTGTGTGTGACTCCGGACCAGCCAACATTTAAGCTTCCTGGGGTAGGAACCACAGATGCAACTGTTGCGATGAAACCTATTCCAGAAGCATGCCTGATTTATGGCACGTTTAAAAGGTAGGGGTAAGCAGTAGAGGAAAGTCTTTGGTTTACATAAAACCCGAAGCACAGGGGTCTCCAAACGTGCATGCCTGAAGATGCTCTTTTTTGACCTCGTACCTGAGTGATGCTTCAACCCCATGCACAAACCTCTTGTGAGGCTCCATTAACAA